AATAAGGAGCATCTAGTGAGATACTAAAAGATCGTCTCATATCGCCACTTCCGACCAAACCGGAAGTAGTCAGAAAATGTATAGTATTGACTGTATCGAAAAGCTATTGAAAGATTTTTGTTACAAGATCCGTCCAGGCATTTATATTATCCATCGGCATCCCTTCCGGTCAAATCGGGAGTAGCTAGAAATGGCTTAGTCTTACAGTTATCACACAAGATTTAAGGGTTCGGCTATAAAGGATCAAAGTAACTGTACACGCTTTTAAATTAATTTATACTGACATCATTTCTGGTCAAACTGGACGGAAGATCTACTCGTTGTTTTGCAACTAGCTCGGCTCTAGTTATTATTAATATTCTTATTTTTTCGACAAATTTTGTGCACGCGATAACTGGAGAACTATTCTTTAGTTTTTTGTCAAGCTTTCAGGAATAATGCGCTAAAATTACATGCCATTGTTACATTTTGAAGAATTCAGGAATAAATCGCTTCTGATTCCAATGTAGACCTTTGGATCAGGCCGAATAAACTAGGCCCCGTGTCGCAGTAGGTGCAGACACGAAATGGGAAGATCCCTCCCTGCTCAACAGCCCTAAGTTCCGAGTACAGGACAAAATTTGCAGCTCTCCACCGGCAAGTGGTGGCGTCGCCATTTGAGTGAAAAATTCTCGAGAGGAACGTTAAACAATGTACAATCAATCAATTCAGTTCCAAGTTATGGACACTTTTCTAATTTTAAAATAAAATTTTTCGCTTCGGTATCTAAAGAATGACTAAATATATGAACTGAAGACTTATTGGAGAAGAGAGGGCATGATCTTTATTTGTTGTCCACGTCTATTGTCATTAATATCACCACCTTCACCGATTATTAACCGCTTATAACTACGCTGTATAACAATATTCTTTTAGCTTTATGCGAAATTTATCGATGGAGTTTCTTTTCTACCATCAGTATATAAATCAGGTCTGAATCTAACCTAAAAAAAAGAAGCTGATACCAAACCAAACAGCTTGAAACATATATTTTAGTTGTTTTGGATAGCCGTGTCAGTCCTCTAGCTAATAAAATTACGTAGGAGAAAGAATCTTATCTATTTTAATGCAGGACCACAATGAAACAATCTCTATGCTAATTGTGTTATCATGGATAAATAAAGGTTATATTTTATTTTTACAGAATGGTCATAGTGACTAGGGTGAGTGGTTTGACCCATTGGCGTTACTATTTTGGTTGTTTTCATATTTTTACAGCAATCTATACAGGTATATGTCGAAATGGAAGACAAGGGTTGATTCCAGACCCATCTAATTGTGCAAGATATTACAACTGCTCCATAGATGTTACCAACCCTTCGTCTCAGGAATGTCCTTACCCATCCCTATTTTCTATTCTTCAAAGGGCCTGTGTCAATTTTGAAGTTGTCCAATGTGGGGTCAGATATGAACCACAGGCACCTTGTAAGTTATAATTTTCACATTCATGAAGTCTCAAAAATTTCAGTTCAGCTATTATCGAATTTATATGAAAAAAAAAATATTTCGCAATAAAGTTTTAGATAATATTACTTTACAGGTGAATATCAACAGAATCTTTGCTCATATTCTGATCCAAAATGTTTGTCTTGTCCATCACGACTTCCTAGTTGTATTGGGCATCTTGATGGGGAGAGGGCCTTCCCAGGTCATCGCTGGACAGCCTGGTATATTGAATGCTTCAAAAATCGAACAATTAGAGTTGGCAATTGTGGAAGAGGAGTTTTTGATCCAATTCATGGGGACTGTGTTGCAGATGTGGACAAAAGTAATAAAAGACCCTTACTTTCAAAGATTTTGCTAACAGAAATTGAAAGTTGCATTCAGTAAATTTATCTAAAAGCAGTTGAAAGAAAGTTTATTTCTCTGGAATTCAGTTATAAGTTAAATACACTTACTTTTTAAAAAGCTATAGGGGAACATTCTTGTTTATCAGTTTTAAGGTCATTGAACTTAAATTTCAGGTAACATTAACAGATACTGTGAATTTCATCCACATGCAATTGTTCCATACCCTGAAAACTGTGGGCAATATTTTGATTGTCGAATGAGGGATACAATGCTTGGAAGTTACATTCATGAATGCACTTATCCACAACTATTTGATAAAAACTCCATGAAGTGTGCAAGTCCAGATTCTGTTTCCTGTTTCAATCAATATATACCTGTTAAACCATGTGAGTGTTCAAATCGGGTATTATTTTCTTCAAACAAAGCTGGAACACTTTGGTTTTGCTGTTTCTTCTTCTATTTATTATGTATCCTGCAAATGAGGTTAAGGTGGTGTATTGGAATCAGAATGTCTGTCTGTCTGTAGATAGTATTTTGTCATCAGACATGTTATCAGAGACAATCGTATTGAAAAATAATTCACGGTGATCTATTTTTGAAACTTTATGGTTATATTGAAATATTTTAAGTATTAAATAAATGGCAACATTGATAGTAATTCGGTTCTAGCTTGAAAATACGGATTTATACCGGTATTTAATTACTGTCTTTTCAAAATGTAGGATTATATCCCTCATGCATTGCTCTGATCCTTTGTCGTATTTAGCTTCAGTCTGTGTCACCATTTTTTCAGCATCTCCTCCAATTTTTTTTTATAAGGCATTGAACCTGAGTTAACTCAGGTGACCTATTGCTATCTGTTTTTGTCCCTCGTCGTCCGTCGTGTGATAACATTTGAACATTTTTAGCTTCTTCTCTGAAACCGCTGAACCAATTTTGACCGATTTCGGTAGAAAACATCTATGGGTGAAGGGAAACCAAATTATGAATTTCATTGTCCCTCTCCCCCTAGGGCCTGGGGTCAAAGCTAGGGCGGGGCTATACAGATTATATAGATGGTTTCCCTTTGACTTATTTTGCCTCGGAGTTATTCCCCTTTGCCCGCCATCTTGTAGAAAAAAAACTGAATTTTCCTCTTTGAGCAACCAATTTTAAACATGCATGCCAGAAATATATGGGGAAAAATATTGACAATCTCAAGATTATGATTTTATCTTTATCTCAATAACCAGCATAACATAATAATAAAGGGATCTGGGTATATTGCCTTACAGCATGGCGACCATGGGGAATAACTCTTGCTAAAATTACCCCAATGGAAAACCATCTATAATGAAAATGAATGATTTTGAAAATGTTCTTTTCTGCTCTTGGGCATTCAATAAACTAATCATGTGCATCAAATAATGAAGTTGAATATGGCTGCCTCTTCTAAAATTGTGAATTTCGTGGCCCCAGGCTCAAGGGTTCTAGTGTTAGGGCGGGGCTATATAGATTATATACATGTAGTGAAAATGAATTATTTCTTTGATTACTGATTAATTTAGACTCATCAAATTTTGTCCGTTCTGGCATTTTGAGTTCTCAAAGTATATTAACTAAAACGAAGGTCAAAATGACACACTTTTTGAATTCAAGGCATTATCTAGATATAAAGAATTCTAAGAGACTTCAAATAGAGATAAGTTGCACAATTTATCAAAAGTACAATTCAGGGCCCTTGGGTCTCTTGTATTTTTAGGTCACCAGAGTAAACTCAGGTGACCTATTGCTATCTGTTTTCGTCCGTCGTCGTGCGTCGTTCGTCGTGCGTTAACATTTGAAGATTTTTAGCTTCTTCTCTGAAACCACTGAACCAATTTCAACCAAATTTGGCATATAGCATCTATGGGTGAAGGGGAACAAAAATTGTGAATTTCATGATCTCATGATCCCTGCCCCCCCCCCCCCCGGGGCCTGGGGGGTGGGGCAAAAACCACTAAAATTAGTGCAATCTTTAAAATTCTTCTGTACTCCTGGACATCAAGCAGTCAAACTGTTGGTATGATTGTAATCAGCATTAAGTCCTCTACCAAAATTATGAAATTCATGGCCCCAGGGTCAGGGGTTCTAGTGCTAGGGCGGGGCTAAACAGGTTATATAGTGAAAATGCATTATTACTTTGAAAATCTTCTTCTCTGCTCCTGGGCATTAAATAACCTAACTAAGTACATAATTATGTTGAATAAGATTGCCTCTTCCAAAATTGTGAATTTCATGGCCCCAGGGTCAGGGATTCTGGTGTTAGGGTGGGGCTCTGTTGATTATTGATTGAAAATGCATAAATTCTTTAAAAAATCTTCTCCTGTGCTTCTGGGTATAAAACCACTGAATTATGTACATAGTTATGATGAGGAAGGATGCTTCTTCCTAATTTGTGAATTTCATGACCCCTGGGTCAGGGGTTCTGGTGTTAGGGCAGGGCTCTATAATGATTTTATTGTGAAAACACATGAATTCTTTGGAAATATTTTCCTTTGCTCCTTGGTATAATGCCAATGATCTAAGTATATATATATGATGAAGAAAGATGCCTCTTCCAAAATGGTTAATTTCAGGGCCCCTGCATTAGGGGTACTGCGGGGGGGGGGGGGGGGTACATAGTCTGAAAATAAAGTAATACTTTGAAATCCGTTCTTTGATATTAATCACCCATTTCTGATGAAATGAAATTTATAAAATTTATAAAATTTTAAAATATGTGGCCCCAGGGTCAGTGGTTCCTTTGGGTTGGTGTGCACAACTGGTGGTTATAAAGTGGAAATGCATTTTCTTTCTGTTACTCTGATCTCCCTGTGGGTATTAAGTAACCAAATTAAGCATGCTAAATGTATAGTTATGATAAACAATGGTGCCTCTTTCAAAATTGTGAATTTCAAGGCATTTGGTTTAAAATAGTCAAACCAAATCCAGTTGCTGGAAAGTTGTTACAAGTTACTCAGGTGACCTATAAGGCCCGTGGGCCTCTTGTATTTTTTTCTAACTTTATCTTGTCTTATAAAGGTGACTATGCCCTGAGTAAATGTAGGACACCTGATTGTATTCCATGCGAGGAACGCTATTCTCTATGCAAGGACAGGGAAGATGGTGCCAATGTTATGTCCGGAGAAGAAGTCTCCAGTAGATTTGTTGTGTGTAAAAATGGCATGGCTACTGGAATCATGTTTTGTCCTGATGGAGAAATATTCAGTTCTCAAGAAAAGAAATGTCAAAAAAGTAACCAACGTGAGTGTTTGTTTAATAAACCCTCTCTCTTTCTTTCAAAAAGTGTTGTTGATAAGTACCCAGTAAAGGGGTTAACAGTCAAACATAATGAGTGTCAGTTTGTAAAACTACTATTCGGTTACATGTACATGATGATGTACTTGGATAAGAGTTACTACTTAAATAAAGGTTATAATAATTGTTTAAGTGTGTAAGATACACAATTACCTTACTTTATTATCCATTATATAACAGCTGGGTAAAGTACATGTACCTTATATGGAGATATAGTAATAGCGCATGCAAACTTGTGTCCTCGTTTGGAGTTACACTGTGAGTTAGTGCTAATAGACATGACGTAATTTGCATGGACCGGAATGCTGTAGGGTGCTCAACCTTGCGGAGCTCTTGTTTCCTGTTAGACTTAATGTAGTGGCTACAAATTTGATTTTTAGCGACAACGATATTTACATGGACAAACAACCAAGATTCTAGCTTTGATATGAGACAGGGATCTTTAAGTTTTAAAAAATCAGACGGAATAATTATTGAATTTTGCATCAAGCCGTCGTAGGCTGAAACAAAAACCGATTCTGACGAAGAATTTACATTTTAAAACACCTAACAGCCAGGGCCGCGGATACTACAAATTAAATACATGTGCATATTTCCCTGTTACACAACCTACTAAATATGGGGGGGGGGGGGGGAGAGGGATCACCAACATGCACATAGAGGAATGCCATTTTCATATATTTTCAATATCCTGAATAGTTAGTTGATAATTATTGCAACAGGACCTTTATGACTTATGACTTTATAGAATTCATGTAATTGGCAATGTTCTCGTTAAGACAAAATTCTTTTGTATGTCTAAATTTGATAATCAATTGTTACCAGTTAACAATCAGCAGCGGCAATATTTTGATTTTAATTTTACTTCAAAATTACCACAAGATATATTTTAAAGTTTTGCAAAAATCGGGTCATTTCAATAAAAGTAATTCAAACATAGTTTTGTACAATTGAGAAATCGTGCGATTTATATCCAGTAGACCGTACCGATATTACAATTATGGTCAGCGGCATTCCATTCTCTGAAAACAAGAACCTCACTAAAATATTAATAATGATCTTATTCGTGCGCTTTTAGAAGAGGTTTCCTTCACGGTGGATATTATAGCGGCGACACGGCTTCCAAACAGATTTAGCAATCGCCCTGGTCTCATCAAAATGAGCTTCAGACATAAAGATGAGAAAGTATTGGTCCTGCGAAACTAAAGGAAATTAAAAGAAACCGAAGAGTACAAATCAGTCTTCATTAGATGTACATGTAGCAAATCGTATTTGGACGTTTAATTGAAATGAACGCAGGGGTCATAGACTCATAGTACAGCCTTCATTAGAAGTAGCATATTGTATTTGGACGTTTAATTGAAATGAACGCACGGGTTATAGTTAAGAACATACCATAGGGAAAGTTGTTTCGTGTCGACGAATATGGTCGTATCAAACCCAAACTACCTCATGTTATACAAGCTGCAGACCAACCATCCCAACCGGATTCGCTCACTTGATGAATTAGGATAATTCATACAGGCCGAGATACAGACTGATAAGTTGAAAACTGTGATTTGTGCATAAACACTTCTCAATGTCTAAATTTGTATGTCACAAATCTTTTATAAAAGATATCAATGATGTATATCTGTGAAGACAAACAGTTCATTGAACATATAGATAATGTATAATTTGAGATCACGTGATGTATGTTAAAGCTAGTCTTTCTATGTTACATAAAGGTCCAAAGGGTCATGGGTGTTATATATATATATATATATATATATATATATATATATATAATTTAAGAAAAATCCAGTGTTTTGGTACAGTAAAATATATCATGTTACAAATCAATTCTGATTTAAAGAATGTTGATTATATATATATATATATATATATATATATATATATATATATATATATATATATATATATATATATATATATATATGTTGTGACGTCACAGTGGTTATGGCCCGAAAACAAAGCGTTTCAAAAGTCGTGAAATGTGTTTTTTCTTTAATATCTTAGTTAGCTGTCACTTGTGCATAGATTTTTCCGCTCGTTCCAAATGTCCCTGGATCGAAAGATCCCGGGGGTGTTTTGCTTTTGTCCTGTCTGTCTGTTTTCTGTCTGTCTGTTGTCTTTGTGACAAGACCTTTTAGCTGGTATAAATATTTTTGACCTTGACCTAAAATTTTGACCCATTTTTAAAAACACATAAGACGAAGGATATGGAGATAACGAACAGTATTCAATCTCGAAGTCCATAAAACTAATACAAAATAAGAGCAGAGCAAACCCGGACCTCCGAAACATCAGAGGTGGGATCAGAGCCCTGGAAGAGTGACCATCCCCTGCTCACCGGTCACACCCGTCGTGTGCTCCTTGTCATGATCAGGAAATAACGGAAAAATCCGTCGTCAATCCAGTGTATAAATAATAGACTAAGAATTGGTATGAAAAACGGTCAGCATTTGACTCAATGATAAATTGTATTTGCTGACAAGGTCATTGTATCGAAAATAGAACTTACGAAAGGATGACTTTAAACGAGACTGCTGATATATATTTGTTTCATCAACTTGCTTGTCAATAATTTACCTCGTTTTAGAAATTATTCATACGTAGACCATGCTCCTGCGTATCGAATCACATACAAAGAAAGTTGAAATTTTTTGATCCTCGAAAATGGAAGACACGATTTTAATTTTTTCTATGATTATTTTTTATTAAAGTAACATACATGTATTTATACTGGTATATCAAATACATCACCATCTATAAGAGAATTAATTCGTTAGCAATTTATCTAGTGTATATGTTCAATTACTATATTTTAATTATATTTTAAACCAACAAATTTGCTGGACATTCTACAAAAGCAACCAGGATACATGTTAACCTAGAAGGAGATTCAGGTCTCAAAAGTGATCGCATTGCGCACGTTGTTTTATGCTAGGAATTTTAAAAGAAAAATAACATGTATTGACCACTTCAATAATAAAACGATAATTGGATTCAAATATTAACTGCAAAGAAGTAGTCTAAGACCAAACACACACTTTACGTTTAGCAATCATGATTAGAGCGTCTGCTCTACAGTCGCAGAGTAAGGAGTTAATCCCTAAGTCGCGGGTTCGAATCACGTTGTGAGACGTGAAGACCAGTCCTTCGTAGGAGACCGTATAAACCGAGGCCCCGTGTCGCAGAAGGTGCTGGCAAGAAAAAGATCCCTTTCTGCTCAATGGCCCCGAGTGCCGAATATAGGACAAAATTTGCAGCTCTCCACAGGTCTCCATATGAGTGAAAAAGTCTCGAGAGGGACGTTACACAACAATCAAAGAAACAAACATTCCAATCACTTTAGCCTTGACGGCTGTTTGATTTAATAAGCCTTTTGAAGACTGATCTTTGTTGAGATGGCCTGGAAGCAATAATTCTGAATGATCATTTAGTTGTCAAACAGAGAGACTGATGAAATTGTTTGATGCAGACATAAAAGAAGTTCTAACTATTTTTCGTATAAAATTCGACCCCCGATAATCGAAAATGATAGCTGAGATCCCAAAAATATCTTAAATAATTTATCTACCCTTAATAGTAGTTTTAGCTCACCTGAGCTAAAAGCTTAAGTGTGCTTTCTTGGTCATCCGACATCAACCCGCTCGTCAGCCCGTCCGTCTGTAAATTTTTCACTTTTTCAACTTCTCAAGAAATAATGGCTCAATCTTGACCGAAAATGGTACAAAATATCATTGAGTGAAGGGAAGTTTAAACTAAACTAAACTGAAGGAAAACGCCTCCATCCAAAGGGGAGATAATTAAAAAGTGACAAAAATAGGGTAGTGTCATAAAAAACCTACTGGGCCAAAAAAGCAGAAACTTAAGTGAAAGCATCCTGAAGTGGTGTAAACTTAAAATAATTCAAATTTTGAACCCTGTCGGTTGGGCGGGGCCACAAAAGGGAATCCAAGTTTCACATTGACATATACAGGAATATCTTTAAAAATCTTCTTCTACAGAGCCACCGGGCTAGAAAAGTTGTAAACTTATGTTGAAGCATCGTAGGATAGTTTTAATTTTAATTCGTTCTATGCATGTCCCAAGGGTGTATTTTGGGGCCACAATAGGGAATCCAAGTTTAACATCGAAATATATAGGTTGAAATCTTTAAAAAATTTTCTCTACAATTCACTCGGCCAAAATTGCTGAAACTTATGTGGATGCATCTTGGGTAGTGTGGTTCTAAATGATACAAATAATAGCCCCCAGGGTCAGGTTGGGGCCACATTGAGTATTACAAAGGGGGAAATTTGGTGGTAGTTTTGGTACATTAATACCATAACATTTATGAAAATGTTACATGTAAGGCCCATATATTTACATCTTATTGCATGTAATGTGTTTGCCTTCCTATGTAAGATGTAAAGAGATTTAATTATACTGATTATTTTTCAGAAATTCTGTTTGAAATATGTAGAGCGCATCCAAACATTGTACGCCCAAATCCTTATGATTGTGCCCAGTTCATTGACTGTAGCAAATCACGTCCTGGTCATGTGATTGAAGAGTACATCAAGGAATGTCCCTACCCATATCTTTTCTCCACTGACACGCTTGAATGCCAGGAGTACAACAAAGTCACATGTAGTATCAGAAAAGAGCCTAGAGCACCATGTAAGTTTCTTATATTCACAATAACAAAGTAAAAATTTGGTAAAATATGAGGTTTGTTAAAAAGTTCATGAACTGATGCAATAAAATCAATATTTTTTGAAAGAGAAATGTCAAATTATGCACACTTTAAAACCATTCTAATTTAATCATCAAATTTTGAATAAGTTTCATTTGTAATAATAAGCTTTGATTTAGTTTGATTGTAATAAAAGAATATGAGGCAAAGGCGCATATTGAGAAACCAGTTAGATTCGTGGGGGTCAATGTTCTTGGATAAGCAAAATTTTGTTGGTTCATGGACACATAACTCCTTTGGTAGCTCATATTTTTATAACATTCAGTGAATAAATATATTGAAAATGATTGTAGGGACATAACTTAATTACCAAAGTTACCCTCGAAATACACGAACATTGTATTTACTGCCACCCGGTAAATTCAAAATTTACAACATGACAACATGATAGTTCACGATAGTTTTTGCTAGTCGTTATAAAAGATTTTATTGCAAAGGCTTCTCGATATATCGCTTGGAACGAAAAAGGGTTACAGACGGATGGTTATACAGACTGGCGGACAGACAGACCGAAATTAATACCCTCCACTTTCAGTGAAAGCGGGGAAATATTATGGAATAAACGTAAATTACATTTGCTTCATTTCTAATAAGAAATAGCAAATGTAATTTAGGGTAAGAGGCAGCTCATAGAAAAACATAATTTAGGGTGTATTGGTCCATTACCCTTCCTCATCTAATGCTATTACGTGTAATTATGTTTATTAGTCCCATACCGGTGTCTGTCTGTCCGTCCGTCCGTCCGTCTGTCAGTCTGTCCTACTTTGTTTTCCGCACTTTTTTTCTAAACGCTTGCAGATATTTAACTGGACTTTGGTATGTGAATGTATCTAGATGATTTACAGATCAAGTTTGAATGTCGTTTCGCTTCATTGACTTTTGACAAAATGATGTCATTTTTTAATTTTTCATAACCGTTTGATTAAGATCGGGTTCATGATGTGTTACAACGCACTTTGAAAAATTACGCACTTTGAAAAAAAATTTCAAAGTGCGTTAAAATTTGGGACCAAGCTAACGCACTTTGAAAAAAATATTTTTTTTTCAAAGTGCGTTAATATCGACCATATTAACGCACTTTGAAAAAAATGTAAAGATTGATCAATATTCCTTCAAATAATCGGTATGATAAAAAACAGATCCTGGTTTGATAACTTTTTTTATGATAAAGTCACTGTAGGACCTGAGATATTGACGTTTTAAATATTTAAGGTTTTGATAAAATAAAAGGGAAAATTAAAAAAAAAAGAGTGACGATTGTTTAAGTTCATTAATTCGTTTCTTCTTCTTTTTTTTAATTCTAGTCTAGTAAGTAGATGCTAAAGGTGTATAGGGGGCACTAACAGAAGACAGCTTCAAGCAACTTAGCATTTATCATAATAAAAAGGGGCCAATTTGATTGTTCAAAACTATGAAAATTCTTTTTCTCTCATACGTTTTACTGTACTTAAAAAATTATAGTTTTCATCTGTTTTAATTAACTCATTTATTATTGAAAGTTTTCAACTTCATACCAGTTAGGTAAATACATAATTATATGAATGCTTTGAGTATAGCATAGACATCGAGACTGGGCGAAGGGCCAGGGGAGGGGATGGGGGGCTAAGCCCCCACCAATTTTGGAAAGATATATACATCGTATAAGCATTGAAAATGCAGCGTACCCTTTCTAGGTTTATTGCTTTTCAAAGTACGTTAAAATTTGGGACCAAGCTTTTGAAAAAAATACTTCTTTTTCAAAGTCCCCTCCCCCGTTTTTACCGACACCTATGTATTGGAAAGATAAAGATTTTAGACTGAGGGATCTTATAGCCTTCTTCTCCTCTTTTCGACGGGAGTAAATCAATTCATTTTTGAGGTTAGGGTTAGGCTTAGTTTTTTGAAAGATAAATAGCAAATAAAATCTTTCCATGACTTAAATATGATTTGTTTTTTTTCAAAGTGCGCTAAGTGTCTCCATGGTAAAATATATTGATGTAGACTCTTAACGCACTTTGAAAAATTTTTTGGACCAACTCAACGCACTTTGAAAAAATTTTTCAAAGTGCGTTGAGTTGGTCCAAAATTTAACGCACTTTGAAAAAATTTTTCAAAGTGCGTTGATTTTGTCCCAAAAATTACGCACTTTGAAAAAAATTTTTCAAAGTGCGTAATTTTTTCAAAGTGCGTTGCCACAATGATGCGTTAGCTTCCGATGGTCGACATAAATATGAAGCGAGAAAAAGACGTTGGAAAAATGAGTTGAATTTTAGTCTTAATGTGGATTATTTTTAAATTAGGTGAATACCAACAGAATTTGTGTACAGGAAAGGGGAAAAATTGCAAGCCCTGCAAAGAGAGACTTCCTAGCTGTATTGGACTTCCTAATGGTTTGAATCCAGTCATGGAGTTCTTGTGGGAGAAAAATTACATTGTTTGTAAAGACAACAGAACTCTAAATGTGAAAACATGTTCTGAAGGTGTGTTTGATCCATACAACAGGAAGTGTATGAATAGTGAGTACCACATTTCATCTTTAAGTGTCATAAATTTTGGCGTCAGGTACCGGTATACGGTTTATAAAAACAGCAAATTATACTGAACCGCAAAAGAAACACAACAAACAGTAATCTTGAAATATTTGAATTTTTTATCTAATGATTTTCAAAAAAGAATACAATAAGGCTAAACTCTTTTCAAATCATCAGAAATTAAATAAAAATGTTCAAAGATTATCATTTAACTTTAGAAAGTACAATATGACTTTAAAAACGCCCCTCCCAGACATTCAATTAAAGCGCGCAAGACAGCCCTACACAACAGTTGCAGCTTAATTTCTACGATGCCAGTAGGTTCATCAATATAGAGATCTGAGCGAAGGAACCTTCCTCAATAATATATATTTTTTTCCAAGATTTTGCCCTTGATGATTTACTACTTTAAAATGTTTACTCACAAAAAATTGAGGTACCTTACCAGGCATTTGTGCGAGATACCAGAGGGTGACATTTCTATAATCCTTTAGGGAAAACACTTAGTTTGTTAAAATCACATTTTTAGTGTTTCCAATTTTTAAAAAAAGATTAGAAACCAGTTTAGAAATCAGAAAGTAATTAAACTTTTGCATATTTTTCATATTTTATGAAGATATAGAAAACAGATATTTGAGGAACGTATCGTCTGACCTTAAACGTTCCTCAAATATCTGTTTTCTATGCCTGTTTTTCAGACAGTTAGGTCGAATTTTCTCTAACCTAGCGCAGTGTAGAAACACTTGAACTACCGGTCATTAATTTAATGTATTTCATACGTAAGAGTCTGTTAAGGTGCAGGCACGTAGCAAGAGGGGGAGGGCTGCCCCCCCCCCACACACACACACACTTTTTTCCCCCAGCTATACATATACTATAGGAAATATTCATTGAAAGGTTGGTTGGCCCCCCAGCTTTTAGTGATGGAAGGTATTGGCATTGAAAAAAAGTTGGCCTCAACTACACACCCCACCCCCACCACTAAATAGGATTTTTGACTTTGGGCAACTTTTCTTTTTTCATCTTTTCTTTTTTTTCTTTTTTTTTTTTTTTTGCTTGTCAACTTTTTACTTTTTCAGTTAAGTAAATTTTATTTCTCTGCCCCCCCCCCACGTCAAAACGATGCTACGTGGCTGAGGTGTAATGTAGTGAATTTTTGCATCAGCAACTCTCAATTACATTTATTACTGAGGTAAAGATAACACTCTTTCTCTTATGAATATACGTTTGTTAAAGCCTCTATTAATTCATAATTTTAAGATTGTAAAAATTTCCTCCCATACATTTCTTGCATGCATGTTTGAATCCTAATCCTTTTTTTAAATGCTATATATAAGAGTATTATGTGGATCCCAATACATTAAAAAGTGATACTTGTTTTTGAAAAATCGGGATTAATTGTGTGTGATATTATAACAAGCTAAAGCAACGCAAATTGAAGTATCCCCTCACAAAGAGCATATGCATGTAGATCTATCAATCAAAGCAGTATTCAGCTACAATCCCGATCCTTATTACGTCACACGTTTCGCAGATAGACAAAATAATGTACACACAAAGTAACACACACAATCATACAAGCACGTAACTATATCCCCTCGAAATCCGTTGCGAGAGGATAACAAGGGCGATTATATAGTCAATTTTCACGTGTTAAAAATGATTTCTATTTTCTTTTGCCTACATATTTGATAGCTACAGTCCAGGGGCCCGTTTCACAAAGCCTACTTAGGACTAAGTTATATCTTAGGAAAGAACTTTTTCCTAAGTTCATTACTTATCCGTTTCACTAACCTCGTCTATATACTTAGGATATTCCTAAGTTATGTCATAACTTTTTTCAGGACAGGTAAATCGATGCACAAACTAGGAAGAAACTAAATATTGCGGCTGCATATCCATGGTTTCTTATGGAGAGAGAAAAATGTTTGGAGAGAGAAAATCCAATGATCTGGATGATTGTGTTCTCTCCATGTTAAAACAAAATGAAAAATACTTTGCATGGAATTACTTGGATTTCAATAATTGACAAACAAGTGTAAAAAATTCCAAGGTATATAAAAATGTCCACAAACACTGGAGCTGGCGAAACAGATGGTATACACATACTGGAATAATTCCTCATCATTTGAAGAGCACGCATTTGAAAACAAAAAAAAAAGCTCATGATCTGATCCATTATTAATTTATTATACATGCATGTATATATTATGTTTTTATCTACATGTACATGTTATTTATTTATATATATTACTAGTATTTTAATCGATATTAAATTAGAATTTGAAAAAAATGATAATGTATTTTAGATAATGGAAACGCTTGTTCACTTTCTATAAGTACATGATTCTTGATGAACCCCCAACCAAGCTCCGGATATATAGATGTTTCTCCCAAGAATGGTTGCATCTAATCTCCTCTAGGACGTTATTATTGAGGGGACACAAGCATAAAGCAGTTTTGTTTTCTATAGTATTCTATACATCGGTAAAATTATTATTACCCCCTCCCGTCCCCTTTCCGTGCTTCTCCAGTTCCTACGGTGTTAACATTTACATTTTCAGTTTTCCTCTCCGCTTAATACAATGTATAGATATGCATGAGATTTGAACAGATTTCCTTTCTTTTTTTTTTTTTAAATTTTTCCTAGTATTTTCATATCTGTCATTTCTGTGGTCGCAAATTGGGATTTTTTTCTGGCATGGCATTCTTGTTTTATATACATGTATATGAGAAAGCAAAAACACAATGCGAACAACTGACGTGAAGTAGTCATTAATAAAAGATTTTTTTAAAAAATGCCCTCACATGTGTTCGCTACGAAGCAATCATTTTTGAATTTCATTTACAAGTAGATACCTTATAAAGAGCGAAAAAAGTAAACGTATATCAAGTATAACGATGTATAAAAAAATACAAATATCGTGTGCCCTGAAGGGAAGAGGGTTTGAAAGGGTCTGTCTGTGAATGCTTAGTGAAAATACATGTAGCAGCAAACTTCGCAAAGTTAACACATACTTCCGTCCAAGTCCTTTGAAAGTGGGGGTTTTATCCCCAATCCTCCCACCCCTCCCTTTTTGAAGCTGAAAATATAACCCATACTATCGTACTGAGAGTTGTAGATAGATATTTAAGGAGAAGTTATTCCATTAGTCCTTAATAAAGGCACAACTTAAGAAATGACTTAGGAAAAAATTAAGATAAGATTGTTTCGTGGAACAGCTGTGACAAATCTTAGGAACTTCCTAAGTTATAACTTAGGCATATCTTAAGTTATGTCTTACGACATATCTTAGGAAACGTTTGTGAAATAGGCCCCAGGCCATGAGTATTCCACGAAGAACACGGGCCCCGTGGGCCAAAAATCCATTTCTTTATATGAATAAAATATATTTTAAACTAAAAATCCACTGTAAATTTTAGCCGACCTCTATTTGAAATTTGGGTTGGGACGCCAGCTTGGTTTAGGTCTTTGTTGTGCACAACGATCAAAATTATATACACGAGCTAGATGAAAATATAACGAAAAATACACGGGAGAATTTTTTTTTCACGATTAAGGGGTATAATATGCACAAACTATGGCACGAAATTGGTTCAAAAGTATTTTCTGCACATATATCAAGATTTTATATACGTATCTAGCCATGAAAAATTATTTCACACTAAAATAAAAAATGCACGTATCCCCAGGTAAAAATTGCACATAGTTTGAAAGATTTTAACACAAACAAAATGAAAAATACACGAATCCGAACATTTTTTGCACATTTAGGGGTATAATATGCACAATACAAAAATAAAAAATTACACGAGCAGAGAAAATAAAAATTACACAAACAATTTTATATACAGCTGCCCAAATCATTATTATGCACATAGAATATTCATTGTGTTCTTGATTTTCTGTACTCTTTATCGCTTTATGGAAATTAAATGGCGTTGACGATGGCATGTGCTTTATTTTGCTTCTTTATTTCTTTGCTAAAACTCGATCCGACTTCTAGCTAATGTCAATCGAACAATTGTGAAGTGTTTCCAAGTGATCTATATGTGAGAATACGTTTTTCGAAAATATTATGTTTATCTTACATTGACCGATATAACCAATATACGGAGGTATTATCTGATGCCAGATAAGAAGGAATCGTATAATGCGGGTAAAAAAAAATGCATACTATGCATACTCGACTCGGAACTAAAAGTACCTAACGATAAACAGTACGTTTGACTAGGATCTTGATTTTCAAAAAAAAAAGTGTTAGAATTATTTTGTTATGTTTTTTATTTAAATAAACTTTCTATAGCTTTTGAAAATTTCTAATTTGTAGATACATCTTTAACGGAAATTACTTGAATAAATATGAAATTAACACTTGCATAATGAAACGATTAATAAAGTTGATTCTTTATGAAGTTGGCAGAATTATTGCTGATTATAATCACTGAGCTGTAGAATTAATTTTGGTACTTTTCACTTGTACCTATTTTATTTTCTTTACCACTCGGAATAGGAAATTATGTATGCCTATATTCGATTCATTTGGCTGGATGAATTTTTTTTTTCAGTTTAAGAACGTTGGGATTACGTTAGATGTATACAGCATGTATTTAGATCTCATGCGCGGATCTAGAGGGGGTCGGGGGGGGGGAGTTACCATAGACCCCCTTCGAAAACGCTGACCCCGCCCCGGTAAACGCGAATATGTGTGCATGTGAAATGGATGTGAAAAGTGAAAGATTTGAGGCAATAGACGTCATAACACAACTCTCCCCCCTCCCCCCACGAAATAGATTTTTGACGTTTTGGCGATTTTTTTCTTCCTTTCTTTTTTTCTTTTCTTGTCAAGAAATTTCTGGGATTGGATTTTTTTTGACTGGGATGGACACCCCCCCCCCCTCGGAAAAAATATCTGGATCCGCGCCTGCATTTAACGCCAGACATAAAAAAATATTTTATTCTAATAACACATGTATTCATACTT